GCCCATAGTATCAAGCAGACTTTCCCATGAAGCAGGACATTTCAAAAACTGCCACTGTTGGCAGTTTGTCAGCCACTTTCTTCTGTGTCCTGCAGAATGTCTGGCAGACTCTTGCCTGAAGCAGGAGCCCCAAAGGACTGTCTCACCTTCTTTAGGCAAGTTCAGCAGTCATTTTTTTGTGGGTCCTGCATGTCCAGTTCTTAAATCATACCATCACACAGTCCTGGCAAGAGCAGTTTCTTGCCCAAATGGCCAGCATATTCCTTAAAGAGCCTCTCCAATGCCCATCTTCATCTTGAAATAATTGGTGCTGCCAGGAGCAGATGTGTCTCATTGTCATGAAAAGACCTAAGCTATTAAAACATTTTAAGTGTCATCTTCTGAAAGTCTATTAAAGATTTGAAGAATACCCATCTAACTGAAATATATCTATATACCTAGAAAACCTAACTAACATGACTACAAGCCTAACTATTATAGATGATTATCTATTAATCTATATTTCTTAACTATGCATTGCATTTTTAAATGAGATGCACAAACACAATACCTTAATTAAGAGAAGAAATATGCATATAAAAATTGACCTTAAATTTGTATCAATAAACCAAGATACATACCAGTGCAAATCTCTATAACATATCCCTCTTTAAATGTAAGCAAATATTTATATACAATATTTGCAAATATGGGCATAGTTCTCTCCAAACTGCTTTCTGCTTTTTGTTGGGTGAAATATTTTTAGGTTGTTCACTGCTACCATTCAGGGGGTCTTGGTCCATAAAACTCATTAGTCTGGAAGGATTCTACAGGTTCTCATTCTCTGTGGAAACAAAATCAGAACCTGTTTTCCAAAGCAACATATTCTCAGACCCAAATTTTGAAGTCAAGGTACCTTTATAATGGTTTATCTCAGCAGCCCGTACAATGAAATGGCTCTCTGTGCTTAGCTCCTTCATAGTCAATAAATTTAAACAAAGTACAATACATAATCTAGACACTCTGTGTAGTTTTCATCTTTATGTGATTTATTTTTCTTTCTCTATTACTTTTTTCTGCAAGTTTGTCTCTTTAAAGACTTCGCTTTATGTTTTTAAAAACTATTTATTTGTTTTTATAAATCTCTATATATACTCTTTTTCTTTTCTCTCCCAAGCCTATGTACATTTTTTAAAGACACTGTATCTTGTTTAGAGGACTTTAATTTCTGGATCTGTCCTATTGTGTATCTGAAATCATCTTCTGTCCTGGAGCATTCTTAAGATGTTAAGCAACATTTCTAGGACAGAGGCTGCTTTACCTTTTGGCTCTGACCATTTCAAAATGTGGGAGGTCGGGTCACTGCCTCTGAGATGCATTCTCTCCGCCCCAGATACAGGGTTGGGTAGTAGCAGGTCTGTATTTCCATTATTCAAGTTGTAGCACTCTGTTCCCAGACCCCATTTAAATGCTTGGTCTCTTGAATAATCCAGAGTTTGTGCTGGCAGCACAGCCAGGGAAGCAGCCTTTTCAAAACTGTGCATGTTGTTTTGCTTGGTTTCCCTTTGCTTTTTCTCCTACTGCTGAATCAGGAAAACCTCTCTTAAAGGAGCCATGGTATTAAGCCATGTTTGACTCTCTTCTTTTGTGTCTAGAATTCCTTTTAAAGCTTTGTCAGGTCTTACATGGATTCAGCTAGCACATGTTGGAGTGCCATTGTGTTGTAGGATGCTGCTTGCTTGTTCCCAACAACTCAGCATCCAGAAATAACCACACAGAAACTGTATTAATTAAATCAATGCTTGGCCTATTAGCTCTACCTTCTTATTGGCTAACTCTTACATGTTAATTTAAACTACCTCTACTAATCTGTGTTTTTCCATGTGACTATGGCTTGCTGACAAGGTTCTGCCTCATCTTTTCCTGGCAGCAGCTACATGGTGTTGTTTCCTTTACTCTGCCTTCTCTCTCTCTCTCTCTCTCTCTCTCTCTCTCTCTCTCTCTCTCTCTCTCTCTCTCTCTCTCCTGGCTATATTCTGTTAAGCCATTGGCCAAAATCAGCTTCTTTGTTAACCAATAAAAGCAACACATATACAGAAGGACTTCCCAGACCATAAAGGCATGTGTGTGGAAGTGTATCTATGCATATGTTTGTGTCTGTGTGCATTTATGTGCATGCGTGTGTGCTTTCCCTACCGGACACTATATTCAGCCACTGTGACTCCCATTCCATGCTGTTTAACAACTTGATCTCTTGAATTTATTCTGATTGAGTTCCGATGTTTGAAGTCTAGCTCTTTCAAGCAACCTTTCTAAATGTGTTGTGCATTATTACTATTATCTTAAAATAAATAGTAATAAGAATATATAACTGGATATTTGGATATTTGTTAAAAATGAGTTATAACAGGTAAAGCACTTGAAGAAGTATTAGTACCTGATAAGTCCTCAGAGATGGTCCTTATGTTGCAGTGAATTTATGTTTTAGTTTAACATAGACTTGAGACACATGGTTTTATTTGTATTTACAGAAAGAGCATCAGCTATTTACTTTCTTTCAAAAATATTTAATAATGAATGAATTATATATTGAAAGTCTCAAAATTTTATTTTCATAAAACCACTTAGTAATATAGCCATTCATTTTATAATTACTATTCTGAGCACTTAGTATCTGAGCATTATATTGTATACTATGTTCTACTCCCATAATATTCCACAGGCTTTTGCTTATCAATATTTTTTCTGATATATGTCTTACTTTTGTCATCATGTGCCATATCCCATGTCAGGGTGGAAACCTCTGTTGGGTCTTGCCAGGGTTATTTGTCAGTGATTTGCGAGGAACATGATGGTTAAGAAATGGCAGGTAGAAAAACAAAAAGAAGAGACTCAAAGAAAAGAAAATGACAAAGGATTGAGTTGGGGTAGTCATGTAGTAGAGTACTGAAATTCACCCTGCCTTTATTTCTCAAAAGCTTTAAATACCCCATGCAAAAAAGAAGGGGGAAGGCAAAATATTTCTTTATCATTACCACAGTACAAGGGACAAATAAAATAATCACGTTCTCAATACCAATACCCAAAGCATCAAGTAACCACATACTAGGTCAAACATTTATCACAAATTTGAAAGAGCAAGAATAGACCTGAACTCTCTGACTTTTGGTCAAGGTGGGACAAATCTACATCTGTGGGCTCCCACAATTATGCTTGGTTCTGTTTTATGCATACTATATTTCCTGTGAACCAAAGAATGTCTGTTATTTCTATTGAAAGTTCATAGAATATTTCAAATTCATTTTTTTTATTTCTAACCTATTGATAATGGAACAACATTAACAAATATTATTAATAGCCACCACATAATTTTAAATTTCTATATCATATAAGTGAACTTTATCTATTTATAACGGTCTCATTCATAACATCAAAATTATGAAAATCTTAGAATAAATTCAGCAAGAGATTCAAATACTTTTAAGTTAGCATTTATAAATACCAGTATAATATTTCAAACCACATATTGAATAAACCCTTAAGTGCAATTACATTTTTAGTGGTTTAAGCACAATTTTATATGAAAAACTCCTGCCAGGTAAATACAACAATATTTCAGAAGTAAGATTTTTATCTCTTTTACCTTATAACAAGGACTTTGGATAACTCCTGCCTGAGAATTATGTATAGGGCATTTAAGAAGAAACTTCAGGTGCACTTCTTCAGAAAACTTCAGAGATCTGGCTAGATTTCAAAAGTTTCATATATTTAGAAATACACTTATTTGATACTTTTTATTTATGTCACAGAAAATAAGTTTTGAAGCATACTGCATTGATTTTTATGTTCCTAGTAAAAGTAAGTCATGCATAGATTAAATTTTTGTAATGATATATAAGAGCCATTTGCCTATGTAGCTTCCATCCTAAGATTGTTCTTTACATGGTTTCAAGGCAACTCATACAGCACACATTTTGATATGAAGCAGTTGACTTCTCAATTTCTGGAATAAACTAATACCCGCATGCCTAATGCTGCATGTTGATTTATCTTAAAATAAATTACAGAAAGTGAAACAACTTCCCCTGAATTAAAAATATATTTCCATAAGTCAGAATATACAAATTCCTCCATTTTTATTCAGTGTTATTATTCAATGATAGCTATTCATTAATTAGATACTTAGTATCCGTTGAAACAAATACAGCAGTAGCATTAAAATGCAATATGGATTTTTTAGTTCTGCTAAATATAGGGTTCAGGCAGCCAGGCGACAAATAATGGGTTCTAGGTCATGTGGAGCCAAGAGTAGTGTGGCTACACTTGGGGCCCATGACAAGCAGCATAGAATCCCAATAAAAGGCATATGTTGTCACTACCCAGGGAGGGACAACATCTAAAAGGAAGTACCTGACCTTCGAACCATTAGATAAAATTAGATAAGATCACCAGATGTCCCTCTTTCCCTTTTTCAAAAAGCCATAGATAAATGTCAGCCAATTAGGGTTCTGAACCCTGGAAATTCCTTCACCCCAACATGTACTATGATTAAAAAAAAATACCTATCCCAACAGGACTTGGCATTCTCTGCTCTCAACTTGTGTCAGATGGACTGAGAGTCCAAGTTTGAGTTTCAATTAAGGCTCTTTGCTTTTGCATATGAGTTGGGACTCCTTGGTGGTTTTTGGGAGACCCCACAATCTTAGCATAACACTAACCACACCAAACATAGATCTGGTATGGTAATCATACAACCATGTGCAGAACACCATTTTTTTTTTCCAGTCTGAAGTTTTAAGTCATTGTTAAAGTAGTAAGCTTGATATATATTTGCTTCAAAAGACAATTTTGATATACACTGTCTTCTGAATTCACTTTAGTTCTTTCTTCACATTCTTTTTTATGAGTATTCACTTTTTTTTCAAAATCTATAAACTCACACTATTTTTATTCCAGTGGTATCTTAGACTTGTAAGCAATCCTGTTACCTCAAGCAGAGGTACAACACAATCTTTCATAGATGCTATATTTATCACTTTGTTGTGTTAAATTTTAAAGATTAATTTATATAAATTTCAGAATATTCTGTTACATTATTAGCCTGTTATAGTTTCAGTGGATTATTTTGTTATTATAAAACATTCCTTATTGTCTCTTGTAGGTTTTTACACACCAAATTCTATTCTACCAATTTAAACCTGACAGCTACAAGAGCTACAGAAACTTCAGTGAAGGTAAGAAGTTACTAAAATAGTGGAAGCTTGAAACAGCAAATTTTCTCACAGTGGCTGTGCCTCAGAATCCAGGATGTTCAGTTTTCATCCCACTTGTTTTCGAGTTATGTTTTCTTTTGCCAGAAGCATGGGTTGATGTCAGAATTCTTATCTTTAGAATGTAGGATAGAAGTTAATGTTTTCTTTTTTTTCTTTTTTCATATGTATAAGAAATAAATTTACATCATGTTGATTTTATTGTCTATTATTTGATCATTTTTTTCTCATACAATATATCCTTTCCTCCTTCCTGGACCCTCATATTTCCTCTCCCCCATACTCACTGCTACTCTATTTCTCTTCACAAGAGACCAACCTCCCAGTGATATCAAACAAACACAAAATATAGCATAACAAGGTGAATAAGACTAGACATAAACCCTCATCTCAAGCCTGAATGAGGCAACCCAGTAGGAGGAAAAGGATACTGTGAACATTCAAAAATGTCAGAGATACTCTGATTCCCATAGTTATGGAAAAAAAAAACCTCCAAGCTAAACAATCACAGCATGTATGGAGAGGAACTAGCAGCAAATCCAAATGGGCTGTGGTTGCCATTTAGTCTCTGTGAGTTAGGTCCTCATTAGCTTTGTTTATCTGATTCTATTGGCTGTGTGGTTTTTTTTTTTTTTTGTTACCTTAACCACTCTTGTCCCTACTATCCCCCCTCTTCTTTTGAATGGTTTCCCAAGCTCCAGCTAATGTTTAGCTATAGGTTATAGATTTGCTCCCATCAGCTAATAGAAGATGTCTTTCTGAAGATGTTTAGTCCAGGTACCAATGAATGAATATAGCAGAATATCATTGATGTCATTAGGAATCAATCAGATTTTACCAGTTATGTTTGGTACTATCCTCTGTCTCTGAACCATCTAAGTTCCAGTTTCTGGCTATCCATGCACTGTTGGATATAAGCTTGATCTTGTGTCATTAGTTTCAAGTTAGATCAGTGATTGGTTGGTTGATCACTGCCATGAGCTCTTAGACACTATAGTCTCCCTACATCTTTCAAGCAGGACAGGTTGTGGGACAAACATTTTAGGTGAGGGTTTCTGTTTAGTCCCACCACTGGGATCCTATCCTGGTTACAGAAGACGAACAGTTGAGACTCCATAGCTTTCATTACTTGGTGTTTTTATTAGAGTCACCCTGATTGGTTCCAGGAAGTCTTCATTGCACTAGGATTCCACATTGCACCCTAAATGTCTATCTATTCTAGTTATCTCTCCCTGTACTATCTCCTTCCTCAAACTGATCTCTTCTTTTCCCATCCCTACCCAACCCAGTCTTCTGTCAAAATCTATTTACCCTTCCCAGGGAGTATGATATGAAATAGCCCTCTGTATGTTATGAATATGATTTATACCATTAGTTAAATAGAAAAGCACTTTGGCCTATGACAGGATAGAATGTAGCTATGCAGAAAAATCAAACAGAGATAGAGAAAGAAGGTGGAGTTGAGGGCAACATGAGCAGCCATCAGAGAAGCAACATGTGAGGTACCAAGCCATAAAGTTGTGGTAAAATATAGAATAATAGAAATGGGTTAATTTAAGTTCTAAAAGCTTGTTAATAATAGTAATCCTGAGCTAATAGGTCAAACAGTTTATAGTTGAGTAAGTTTCTGTGTAATTATACAGGACTGAGGGGTCACTTAATGAAAGCACAGCCTCCTGTTACCCATGTATCCACCCTTAAGCCCTCCTTGTTATTTATCAACCTTATGTCTCTGGATTGTAGCATGACTATCCTTTGTTTTACAGCTAGTATTCACTTATATGTGAGTATGTACTAAAAAGACAAACTTATCTTTCTGGATCTGAGTTACCTAACTCAAGATGTATTTTCTTTATTCTAATCCATTTTTCTATATATTTCATGTCATTTCTTTATAACAGCTCAATAATATTTCATTATATAAACACACCAAATTTCATTAATTATTTATTATTTGACTGAAGGACATCTAGGTTGTTTCAAAGAATATGGTGAGTCCTCTGGTATTTGCTGCCACTTGATAACTTAGTCATACACTTGGGAAATTTTCTCTAAGATAGATTTTTTAGGTACAATTCTTTTGGTATTTGATTTTTAGAATATTCTGTCATTAAAGAAATCAAGATAAAATAACATAGCAATAGACACATTTTTACAATAAAGCACAAATTAACAAAATTCACTAACAACCAAACCACACACATAAAAAAAAATACTCTCAACTTCATTAAGATAATCAGAAACACTCTCCCACAAGGAAGTATAAAGTTTCAGAGTGGAATGTAGATCAAAACACTGAAATGTGTGAGGAAAAACTGGATTCACTATAGGATAACTATCACATAGGATTTAAAATATAGAATAGTAACTGAAGGAAAGAAAAGGCAGGCTGATTTCAAGTAAGTTCATTTATGCCTGCATTAGTCAAAGGGTAGAAGACTGCTTCAGCAAAGCTAGAACTTGTGAATTCTATGTGGTTTTGTTCAGTGGAAAGGGTGGGGCTGCTAAAAACTTTAGGTATAAATTTAATCCCTTTACTTTGATATGGAAACAATCAAATTTGAAATAAGCCTGTTGGGGCTTGCCTTAATCATGAAAGACCTTCAGAATCAGAGCCTTCTCTGATTGGGGCTAGAGGGAAAATAAGCAGCCTAGGGAAAAGGAGAAAAGCACACACCAGAGGACTCACCAGATTCTTTGAAACAGTTTTTATTAAGCATGGCTGCCACCTGAGAAATTATCTTCATGGTGAATTTAGAAACAAGTTTTAGAGCACAGAAGGTGAGCTTCTTGTATTTTCTGATGACTGTAATTTGACTTGAGCAGTGTATGGAAGCCATATTTATTTTTCTGGCTCTATTTTTATTTTTATTTTTAAAGGACTCAGTGTATGTCTGCTGTTCCTAGCTGTATCTGGCTAAAAGTCAACTTAGTCTAATTGTAAATGGGGAAAAGAAATACTCGGGTTAATATTTTTCTTTGATATGCAGGACATGTGTTCTAAAAATTCAAAATGTTGTTTTCCTTATGTTTGTGATGTTACTATCTTAAAAAGCATGAAGTTTGGGACAAGTCATCTTATTCCATCAAAGACTGACTACATGATTTCAAACTCAGGCGTTCATACCTTGAAAAGAATCATCAGCTTTTTTTTTTTTTTTTTTTCCCTTAGGTTTAGCCCTTTTGAGACTCTCGGGGAAAAAGTTAGAGTTTTATTAATCATATGAGTTATGAACTCAAAATATGTGTCTTCCTACTCCAGTTTAGATTCAGAAAGATTCCTTAATCTCCATGACCATGAGCTACTCATTTGCAGATTTTAGTATTTTTAATTTTTGGTAGTTTTCTTTTCTTTTTTTTTTTCTGATGTGATATTTGTTGTTTCCATGTCCTTCTATTTTTTTATGTTTTAGTTTATCTCAGTATGAAACTTGGTCTAAGAAAAATTACAAACATAGTGCAATGCTATTTATACTAAATATTGCATTTTAACATTTTTAATTAGGAAAAAATATAGACAAAAATGGTTTATGTGGCAATTATTCTAATAAAATTCAGTGACACTATTATGGTGAGAAATTCACAGCAGATTTATTTCCCATCCAAATTGGATAATTCATTTGATTTTGACTACTACTTATTAATACAAATAACTTGAAAATTTACTGTAAATCTTATAAGGATTATTTATTTTTAGTAAAAAGGCATGTACTTGGGCTGCTTTATATAATATGCATGTAATCTGTTTCTCCTGCCCCACTCCTCTTACCTTTCCTCCTTCACTTTGTTCCTTCTCTTCTTTCCTCCTCTTGCTCTTTTCCTTCTCTTTCTCCTTCTCTTCTCGTTTTTCAGATTATACAAATTGTTAGTTTTATCACCCTTTATAATAACCGACTTTCTATGACATTCACTTTCATTCATGTTTCTTCACTTTAAAATTTCCATTTCTCCTTCTCACTTCATTGTTGCATTCTTAGGGTAGAAATACAATGAATTTAAATATCTTTCTCTTGAATATTGAGAAGTAACAAACTTTCCCTTTGAGCATTGTCTTAGTAATATCTTGTCAATTTTAAATTTTTCATTTTCCTTATTTTTTTATGTTTACTCCCGGTTATATAGTTATATCTAAATATTGACTTAGGATCTATAAATAAGAGAGATCATTAAGTATTTTTATTTCTGTTTCTGGAATATCTCACTAGATATAATATTTTCTGGTTCCATTCATTTACCTACAGATTTTATTTTTCTTTACAGCTATAAAGAATTCCACTAGACCATATTTTCATTATCCCCTCAATTGTTGAAAGATATTTAAGTTGTTTCCATTTCATAGCTATTGTGACAATAAACAGGACTGAGCATTCTTATTAGTACTTAGGTTCTTTTCATCTGTACTATTTAACCATGCTAATTTTTCATGAATAAAGTAATATTTCCAATTTTTAAGTTAGTGAAACTATTGTTGTCACAATGTAGTGTGGTTTTAGAGTTGTTTTTTATAAAGAGATTCTGAAATCTTCATCTTCACAAGCTATTTGTAGAGACATGTAACTATAATACTTATGCTTGTATAATTATTTAAAAGGATTTAATATATTTTTGTTACTGTGCTGTGAAGGCCCTACCCAAAGACGAAGCAAATTGCAGTGTTTTTCAGGTGGATTTTATAATATTAATTATGTTTAGGTAATATATATTAAATTCTTTCCATGAAACTGCATTATGAATAAAATTTCTCTGTATGCTACAGCCTACATTATATTCCGAAATTGGATAATTACTAGGCATACATTTAAAAGCTACAATTAGGTTAAAAATGCTCAGTGTGGCTTTAACTTTGAAAGTGAAACATGTAATTTCCACTTTTTAGCCATCTAATTTTTGCTACTTAGCATCCATTTATAAAAAGAAAGCATTGGCATAGTATTAGTATCCCCCTATATATTTGAGCTAAAGTC